ATATTTAAATTAATGATGAAGAATATAATACAAGGTAAAATTATTTAATTAATATGCAACAACGATCTACACAATTTAAAGACATAATCTTTCACATTTAGCCCGTGTACACACTCGTTACCTCGTGTATACGACTTTCAACACATTTTAATTTATCACTTCAATACCAATCCTAGGAGAAATTTCCCCCACACAAGGTTAGACAAGTCACTTATCTCGACTTGCTCCAATTTAACCTAGTATGCCTTTTTCTCGATTTTCCGACTCCGATCGACTCAATTCTAGTCATAATTAATTCGATACAGTTAACAAAAATTATAGAATCAATTCCATAAGAAAATACTATATTTTTCAATAAAAATCCGAAATTAACTCAAAAATTGCACGTCTTGAAATCCGGCGAAAGTTAAGAAATCCGACAACCCATTCAATTACGAGTCCAACCATATCAATTTCGCTCAAATACGACTCCGAAATCTCAAAAATTCGTTTCTATGAGATTTCTAAATTTTTTCCAAATTTCAATCTCAAAACACTAATTAAATGGTAAAAACAATGATGGATTCGGGTAGTCTAACCAAAATTGAGTTAAGAACACTTACCCCGATATTTTCTCTGAAAATCTTTCAAAATTCGCCTTTCCCCAAGCTCCAATTTGTCAAAAATGGCGAATGGAACAAAATTTCCTCCTTTATAATTCTGCCTAGGTAGCTAACAGTGATGGGCCTCGATCCTGGGCCTCGATCGTGGCTTCGATCATGGCCCTCGAGCCTGGGCCTTCTATCATGGCCCTCGAGCTTTGCCTTTGATCATGGCCCTCGAGCCTTACTTTCGATCATGGCCCTCGAGCCTGCCTTCGATCATGGCCCTCGAGCTTTGCCTTCGATCATGGCTCAATTTTCTGGGCTCGATTTCTGGGCTTCAAATTCTGCAGTTCCAGCAAAAGAAAAATTGCAGCAGCTTTTTAAGTCCAACTTTTGATCCGTTAACCATCCGAAACTCACCCGAGGCCCTCGGGACCTCAACCAAATATACCAACAAGTCCTAAAATATCATACGGATTTAGTCGAGTCTTCAAATCACATCCAACAATAATAAAAACACAAATCACACATAGATTCAAGCCTAATGAACTTTGAAACTTTCAATTTCTACAAACGACGTCGGAACCTATCAAATCAAGTCCGATTGACCTCAAATTTTACACGCAAGTCATAAATGATATAACAGAGTTATGAAAATTTTCGAAACTGGATTCCGACCCCTATATCAAAAAGTCAACTCCTCGGTCAAACTTCCAAACTTAAATTTCTATTTTAGCCATTTCAAGCCTAATTTCATTACGGACTTCCAAATAAAATTTTGATCACGTTCCTAAGTCCAAAATTACCATACGGAGCTGTTGGAATTATCAAAATTCTATTCTGGGATCGTTTGCTCATAGGTCGACATCCATCCAACCTTTTTAACTTAAGTTTTAAACTTTGGAACTAAGTGTTCCAATTTATTCTAAAAATCTCATCAGACCCGAACCAATTATTCCGACAAGTCATATATCAGTTATAAAGTACAGAATGAGCAGTAAATAGGGGAATGGGGCTACAACTTTTAAAACGACTGGCCGGATCGTTACAGATCGTTACAGTTGATGAAAACACTAGCACAAAGGTAAACCTGATGTTTGGAATGAATTGAAATTGATTAGGGGTGGATTTGAATTAAAAAAAGCAACTAAAAGAGAAGTTGAATCCTAAAAAAAAGTAGAAACCTAAGAAGGAAGAACACAAGGATAGATTTGTAATTCTAAGTATTTCTTTTTTTTTTTTAAAGTAAGGACACGTGTCATAACTCCATTGGTGCGTGATATAGACATGTTTTGTGAAACTGGTCAACTACAAAAATGGTGTGCCATAAATACATTTTTGAAAGGTTGAGTGTGTAAGATAATTTTTACCATTAGTGGACAGGCCGTGTGGATGATTGATAGGAAAGGCCAATGTGAAATTAGTAACGATAAGTTGCACCTAGGGTTGGTATGTGAAAATTTAAGTTTGGGAATCTACCAAAAATGTTAAAAATAGGCCCAAACTTACCAACCTCTAGTCATTAATTACAGGGTTACCAAGACTAGTCAATTGCATAAAAAAAATTAAAAACCTAGTTAAATAAGGATTCTTTCCCTTCGAGAATCTTACACAAAAATCTTCTTCCATATGTTAAAGCAGGATCAACAACATTAGATACAAGACAGAAAGAAAATTTCATGGATGGGGTAGCAAATTAGGTGATGAAAAAAGTACAACATTCCAAAAACTTGAGCAAGAAAGGACCTTTTTCAACGAGTATGGTTGAAATTCATTAAAAACATATGGATGAGTCAATATACAAAATTTGAGGAAGATTGGAGGTGATTTGGACTAGTTTTGACTCAAAATTCATAGTTGAAATCGGGTTTAAAAATTTCTCTACGACATATGAATCAAATATGTAGCTCACATGTATCTCACATATAAGTATACATGGATATACAAGAGATATATATTTGATACACAAAAAATACAAATATCATCTTCTTCTATGTTCATCTTATGTAATTCGAATTTGCTTCAAATTTCAGGTCAAATCACCTAAAATATCCACCAATACGTCCTAGAATTGAGATTCACATTCTTTAAGATGTATCCAATCTACTCCAACAACAACTACTTGAAATAAATTTCAATTTCGAAATCAGGCTCAAGCAAACTTCAATGTCTGCCCATGGCGTTTTCAGTTTAATCCTTCGACCTAATCGAAAAAACTAACGTTTAATCGTGATTTCTAAATCGAATTAAGATGCTCGATTCTCTTAAATTCAACTTAAAGGAATTAGAATATTGCAATATTGCTCAAGTCCAGTGTCTCAAAAAGTTTACTGCTTTTGTGTTTTAACAAAATAGATCTATGTTACAAAATAACATTTAGATTATTTCCGATAGAAATTTATTTTGGGCTAGTTTTAACAGTTTAGATAGTTTTCCTTTAAGGGGTTGTGTCTATTAGCTACAACTCTACTATCCAATAACTGTATCACTTTAATATCCAAATAGTATTTTTTTTTTATTTACAAAATTCAAGGTCAAGTAGGTTGCCAATCCCAATTTATCATTTATGTGGCCTTCCTAGCTACATTAAAATAGTCAAATTTGACTTTCCCTCCGAAATTTTCCACTAGGTATTTTATTAGAAGTGGCACAAAAAGTGTTTAAGAAAGGCTTTTATTTTTAAAGGCGTATTCAAGATTTAAACTCTATGAATTGAATTTTTAAGATTTTTAATATTGAACACATTATATTTTTAAAGTTATGAGTTCGTTTCTACTATTTGTTATAATTTTAATGAATACGGTAACAAAGGACTGGATCCACCCCTGCCCCTTTGTATTTTACCGGTGGAGGATAACTTGCAATCTTTTCTTTTCTCAATCACTAACCATTTATTAATCATAGAGGCTTTACTTTGAATAGCAAGTGCAATTGTACATAGGGGCGGCTCAAGCATATGCGGGACCCAAAGCCAAAGTTTAATATGAGACCTAAATTTTTAAAAGAAACTTATGATATGTTTTTGTTTGAATTCTATTCTTCTACCTTTTTGAGATACAAAATTATTAATAATCTTTTTTATAATCGATTTTCTCTAATTATTTCTATTCAATTGATAATATAGCCAACTCATTTAATCTTTCTTGAGATATTATTGATTTTAGATAAGATTTTATAGAGCAATAGAAGTCTAGAACTATTGGAAGCTTAAAAGTATTGTTGAATACTAGAACTAATGAAATCTTAGAAAAAGAATGTGAGTAATGAAATCTTGGAGAAAGACGGTGAGTAAGAATATTAAAGAGAAAGACAAAAAATATGTAGGATTTCTGAAATATGAATAGATTGGGGAAAAGAAAGATTGATTTGGACATATCAAACAGGGAGAGTAAAATTTTTATTGGTTATCTAATGAAAGAGTAAACTTGAAACATTGAGAAAACTATTAATCTACCCATTTTTAAGTATGTCAAATTATAACTTTTTTTTATATATTTAAAGAGTTTTTTTTCCTTTTATTAAAAATCTCTACTTTTTTCAATTAAAAGTACTAAATATTTTTTTTTAAACACCTATAAACCTATTATGTTTTAAAAAAAAATGGCGTCCGCAAATTTGGGGGTCTAACGCACAAGCCTTACCACTCTTCATGTTAGAGCCGGCCCTGTTGTACATACACTTTACGTAAAATAAAAGCAAAAAAGGAGAGACCAATCAAGATATTGTATCGCTAAAATTCGTATTGAAGTTGATTTATTTCAAGAGCTGCATGGATAATGCACTAAATTAAATGCTGATACAATTCCAGATCAGCAAGCTGACGTGCCAGCTAGTTGCTTTAATAAAGTAATGGCAATACTCAAAATGTAAAATGATATACTCTACTAGATCGACTTCATCTTGCGTAATCATTGGGAAGCACAATCTACGCTACATTAGTTTCCGATCAAAATGTCTCATTCATCCTAATGAATGAACTAGAAAAGAATTCTTAATTAAGGAGGTGAGTCAAGGTCAAATACCTTGCATTTAAGAGTTTTTTGTGTACCCTGGCGTGAGAAATGGGGTTGACCATAATAGTTTTGAAATAATTCATTGTAATAGTTTGGACGCAATACAAATAATTGAGGCAACGAATAATTGATTGCAGTAGTTGAATTTAGAAATACCGGCCATTCTTTGTCATAGTGGTTGAGGGGGGTTTTCTCCACAACACTAGGTCAAGATTTCAAGGCTGGTAAGCCAAGAATAGTTTAATTAGAAATAATTGATTACGATTGATGTAATTGATTGCAAAAGTTCAGATGCGATTGCAAAAGTTTAGATGCAAGGTCAACTCAGACAAGTCTTAACATCATAAGAGCAAACTATAGTCACAACTATAAATTGTGACTTTTGAAGAGCAACAAGACGCTCACAAAAAAAAATTTCATAAAGCTTGAAGTATTTGACCTAGTATGGCGTGGCTTAAGTTTGGTTCGGTCTTCACTATTCTTCTCATGATTATCACTAGTTAGTATTTATCTCTCTTTACCTCTTTGTTGTAAACCTACATTATTGTGATTTTTCGTATTATACCAATCATAACTTAATTTTATAATTATGATGGAGATTAATATTTTCAGTTGATGCGATGTGGTTTTCCAAGAATGAAGTTATGGCCGCAAGAAATGTCGATCCAAATCTATCAGCACCGAAAAGGAGATTACTTCCACAATTTAATGATATTTTCACTTGTGGGAGACCTTGTATTTCTGATGATGATTGCAGAAGTGATTGTTTGATTTGCTGCAGCTGTACATATGAGCTCTGGGATCCTACTCTTTACCGGTGTCGCTGAACTAGCTACACACAAATGTTACATTTAGTGCCCAATTGCGATGAAATAAGATCTCTATTATGCATCAGTACTGATTCTGTTTAATTCTCTTTATGTCTTTGCCTTACATACTTTGCATGAATGACAAAGAAATTCAAGTGGAATGACTTTTTATTTATGAATAATAAAATAATAGGCTATTATATTCAGCTTCAATTCTAATGCTGGTTGGGGTAGCTTTAATTTCACTACTTGTACAGCATACGTTGACTAGATCTAATTAACGTTAAACATATGTGTCATATATCTATGTCATATTCTTTTTTCTTTTTATAACCATTTACCCTCCACTTTCTCCAATCTAATACTTCTTCTCAGGCTATCTATCAAGGAATTCATATTTTTCTTTGCTGTGTTTGTAAGTAATGTTTCTACAACTAAATATGAATATATAACCATGCGCAAGAGGCGAATAAGTACTCGTAAGTGCCCATTTAAAAAGATAATTAAATTTACCGCCATTAAGAGTTTTTCCAACTTGACAAATAATTTTATTTATGTGATGAATTTAGAAAATAAATGAATTGGATTCTCTTGCTAATTAGTTAAAGTGTTAATTTTTTTTCTCATCTTTAAAGGAAATAACGTAGTATTTGGTAGTTCAAATTCTCATTTTCAGATGTTCATCTATAATTATAACTTTATCGAATAAAATTTTTATTTTCAAATAGTGAAAAAATCATATATCAGTTTTGGACCGTTATGTCTTCAAAAGTTTTGACTCCAACAATATTTTGCAAACTCATAACTTCTAAGGTTCTGAATAATAAAAAGAATGTTAGAGTTCAATATAACTTTAATATGCACGAGCTATAACAAGGAATTTGTATAAAGTAAAAACTCTTAATCAATTTTAAAATCCTAAAATAGTAGGATTTTCTACCTAATCAATAAAAAAATCTTAATAACCAAAATTTTAGTTGATTTCCAAGTTCTAAAAATTAGAAACTAACTTAAGTTACAATTTTGTCAAATATAAAATTTATTTTTGAAGGGTAAAAACGACCGCTAAGAAGTTTCGTACTTGTAATACAAATAATCTTATGATACGCACGTTGCGTGTGCATACTATCTCAATGGGAAATATATATATTTAACTATTATATAAATATTATATTTAATTTATAAAATAAAAGTATATATTCCTGATAATGATAAATGTTGATCTTGTGTACCTAACCCAACAAAAATAAATTACCACATAAATTATTTTCAATCATCTGTTAATATATTCAATTATAAACTTATTTTAGTTTTATTATTCATCACTCCAAATTCAAAAATTATCATTCTTCTTTCCCAGTTTTAATATTCACACATAAAATTTAAGATATTTATAATTTTAGTTTTAAAATTCTAATTTAAGAACTTCACCAAAAAACGAATTATGTTGAGGAATGATATTAGATAATAGTTTCCTGCTTATTATCTCTTCTTCTTTTTTCTGTTTGAACCTACGATAATTTTGACCTGATTTTAATAGGGATATTAAATATTAAATTTTTTATTCTTTTTTCCTTTTTAGACCAACAACAATCATGTTTGTTAGGGATATATTAATTGATAAAGAAGTTTTCCACTTGTTCTCTTCTTCTTTTTCCTTATTTGCCATACGCAATTTTGAATTTTGTAAAAACAAATTTATTTATATTTACAATTTTGTCCAACTTAGAATGCATTTTACGAATGATAAAAAAGACAAATAATATTTCGTTAACAGCGTCGTGCTTTTAATATAGTATAGCTAGATAGATATATAAAATATAAATATAGCTATAGCTATAGATAGATATGTAAATAAGAAAATAGTTGAAAATAAACTAAATTTCATTATACATGCTTTCCAATTGTGATTATATGGCAAAATACCTTAAAACCCCCCTAAACTTGGCACGTATTATTGATTACATCCTTGAACTATCCGCGGTCTTAATTACCCCCTATACTTGGTTATTCGATAGCTATTACTCCCTTGGACGATCTCATTCTAGGAAAGTGGCAGGCGACGTGGATTTTCCTGTCCATGTGGCATTTTTTGAAAATTTAAATATATTTTATACCTTTTTAAGTGTGTTACTTTTTTAGATAATATTTTTCTAATAATATTTATAATGAAACTTGGTTAGAACTACATTATTTAGTCTAATTTATTTTTATTTGGCTAAAAATAATAAAGTTTTAGTTATTGTTTTTGAATTAGACCTGGAAATACGAATTTATACAGTTGAATTAAATATTCAAGGCATCTAAAAAGATATAAAAATACATACTTTGATTTTTTTTATTTTGACTGTAATTTTTTATATAGCTCTAAATTATGGAGCTCTAAAAATATTTTTTTTTACAGATATTACCGAAAAAAGTAAAAATACACAGTTAAAATAAATAGTCACTCCATCAAAAGAAGAAATAAAAAGAGTGTACAATTTCAAGTTCATTATTTTGACTATACCTTTTTAGTTGGTAAAAAATAATGGAGTTGTAGCTATTTGTTTTTACTGATTTGACTCGAAAATAAAAATACACAATTAAAATAAATAGATATTATATCTAAAAAATATATAACAGAAAATACACAACTAGTACTCCATTATTTTTACTAAAAGTTTTCTATTTGGCTAAAATGATATAGTTCCAACCAAATCTTTACAAATTTGGCCGCAAAAAAAATAATAAATATGCAGTTGGAACAAATAAACATTATATCTATAGAAGAAATTAAAAAGAATAAAAGTTAGAGTAAAGTCCACATTATATGTCAAGATGAAGCAAGAATAAATATATAGTTATAACAAATAAATCATTATATATGACTATATGCAATTAAAAGTTAAAAAATAACCTACTTGTAAGCTGATTTTTTAATTTTTTTTCACTCCCACGCGCTTAAAAGAGAGTGCACCCATACTCTTTGCCACATCAGCGTCCAGGGAGGTAATGACTCTCAAAAGGCCAAGTTTAGGGAGCAATTAAGACCACGAATAGTTTAGGAATGTAACTAATAATCCGTATCAAGTTTAGGGAGATTTTTAGGTATTCCGCCGTGATTATATCTTGATTCATTCTATTTTGGACAAAAATGTTTTTCCTTTAATTTCCGTATTAAAGTAATGTCCATCTTTCTTTTACTTGTCATCAAATATACTCTTTAAATGAAATTTATTTTAGATTTGTTTTAGTCTTTAAGTTTCAAATTTATACGGCACTTAAAAAGAAGAGGGGAAAGTTTTACTATTTGGTAAGAGAACATTCAAGTCAAAAGCGTGTTTTAGCATTTGGATAACAATTATTAGTTAAATAATTGGTGTTTAAATAATAAATTCTAAAAGAAAAGAAATTATATAACTAAAATCTTACTCGATTTCAACTTCTTAATTAAATAAGTTTGTACATAGTTCGAATAAGAAAAAATTTAATCAATAAGTTTTAATTGGTTTTGTAATCCTAAATATTAGAAAAATAATTATGACTATTCCTAAATATTAGATAAATAATTTAATTAATATTCCTAAATATTAGGTTATACATTAAAAGACTATTTGGTGTGAGACCTTTTGAGAAAAAGCGTGCTAGCTTGGCTCAAAGTGGACAATATCACACCATGTCAAGAGTATCTTTGAGCCGTTTTAGCCCAACAACTGGTATCAGAGCAATAGTTTGACGAGACGAGTACAAAGATGACGAATTGATGGCGTGGGGCCCGCCTTAGTGCCTTTACCTGTCTATGGGTCGGTTCACTACCTTTACTCATAGCTTCAAAGACACATACACAGGCTCTCCTTGGGTTTCAGTGACCGTAAATACTCGGATTATGTGGGTGGCACATAATTAATCTCCAAATTAGCGCATAACAGTGATGGGTCATGTGGAACTTAGTTCAAGGGGAGATTGTTGGGAGTATTTGAACAAAGTCCCACATGGAAAGTAGAAAAGAAAAATAAGCTCCTTATAAGGAGTTGGATACTCTTAATGGTGTGAGACCTTTTGGGAAAATTCGTGCGGGCTTGACCCTAAGCGGATAATATCACACAATGTTAAGAGTATCTTTGGGCCGTTTTAACCCAACAACTGGTATCAGAGCCAATGGTTTGGCGGGACTATGGAGATGACGAAGTATGGCATGTGGGCCTAGCTTAGTGCCTTTGCCCGTCTACGGGATTTACGACCTTTACTGGTAGTTGTGGGTGATACATAATTAATCTCCAAATTAGTCCACAAATGATGATGGGTCATGTAAAACTTAGTTCATGGGAGAGAATGAGTGTGTGAACAAAGTCCCACATGGAAAGTAGAAAAGAAAAAGAAGCTACTTATAAGGAGTTGGATACTCTTAATGGTGTGAGGTCTTTTGGGAAAAAACGTGGACTTGACCCAAAGCGGACAATATCACACCATGTTAAGAATATCTTTTTGCTGTTTTAACCAACACTGTATGATTTCCTTCAAAAGGTGCATGATATTTTTATTAAGTGGTTGGACGTAGTTTATATGGTTAATTTCATTCAACAAGATTGCAATGGTTACAAGCACGATGATACTCAATCTCAGATTGCCGTGCGGCAAATCCAGCTGTCATGAAAATGGAAAAAAATCAGTTGATTCACATGAGAAATTTGAAGGGGAGGTTTGGACAACGGTTAAGTTCAAGCAAACACTAATACTTGTTTCATCCTAGACTATTTATATTATACTATCTTGGAGTGTGATACTTCTTTAGAGTCAGCGTGAATAAAGGTGGATCTATTATTTAAACACTACGGGATCAATTTTTAGATTTTTAGCATTAAACCCATTGAAGTTTAAAGCTATCGGTTCATATTTAGTATTTTTTGTAATTGCAGTAAATTTGTACACATAAAATTATACTACGCATCGAAAGTATTGAGTTCAAATGAACCTAATGTCAAAAGGTGAATCCACCCTATGCGTGTACACAAGATGCTTTATATATCGAGATGCAAATATATGAACTAAATAGAGAAGAGATTCGATCTAGTGAGTCTTGGGGGTCAAAACCATCAAGCTGCC